GAAGGATAAATTTCACCCGAGTAAGCAGAAGTGCAGACCAAGCAGCTTCTGCATCTGTTAAAAATGACAGGGACTTACTGGCCACCTAAACAGCTACCTCAGTATCCTCCATGGTCATTGGTGACAGAGGTCTCAGGGCAGCATCAGTTTTTGGCTGCCAAGTCCAGAAGATCTGACAGACTTTCCTGTGGAGTAGGAATTTGGCAGGGACCAGCCTACCTTGTCTAGGCAAAGCAGGGCAATCAACTCCCCAATGTCCTGCTTGTCCACAGTCTGGACAGGGCCTTGGCAGCATTTGAGGTGAAAGAGAGGTTTTTTTTCACCCTGTGACCAGCTCTGCCACATTTAAAGCAAGCTCCAGGTGGAGGTTCTTCTATGCCCATCCATCTTCTTTGGAAGAGATGGGGTGCTGCCAGGAGCTGGCATGTCTCTCTATCATAAAAAACTTTTTTATTAAACATTTAAAATGCCATATTCTCAGATTCTTGAATCATTTGAGGATGAAGATCATACATTAACGAAGGCATTATAATAAAATGTCTTATAAATTTTAAGATATCCCATAGCCTTACAAATTTAAGCATTTTAAAACTGTTTCTTAAAAATATCCTTTAACTTTAAAGTAAAAATTACTTTAACTTTCTGTAAAACTTTAAAATTTTCTTTTAAAGAAGTTTAAGATCTCTCAACTGTGTATTCTGGTAATTCCCAACTAAAGTACATTTTATTTCAAGAATGAAGACATACAGCAAAATCATAATTTGTAGAAGGAACAAAAAAATTTCAACAGTGTAAACGATTCAGCATCTCTAAAACCAATACCAAGTGAATTGTTCTTACTTTTCAAAATCTGGCTGCCATCCATTATGTCCCTGTACATGAATGCATGGAGGTGCAGCTTTAATTCTTCATTAAACCAGCATTGTTTTAGATCCTGTCTTTCATAAACCTTGTTTTCATTAAAAAAAAAAAAAAGATCCTAATCCAAAATATCCTGGAGACCTGTTTTTGCCTCTTTTGTAGGCCTACTCCATGTGGTCACCTTTAATCAACATGGCGATGAAGTCACATGACTGCCCTCTTTTCCACCCTAGTCAAAATGGTGACTGCCCACATGGCTGCTCTTAGTTTAGTTAAGATGGCGGTAAACCATGTGTTATTTCCCAGAGCAGCTCCAATTCAGAGTTGTAGGTTTTAAGTTAACTTTTGGTTACAGACTTTTTAACCATAAAAATTGGGATTCCCTTAGCTGTTTTTTTTTTAATAAATTAGAACAGCATAAAACAACTTTAATATTATTTATACCCAAATGACATGTTATATTTGTTATCACATCAGATTCAGTGGCCAGAAAACCCAGAGGCAAATTCTGAGCCCAGGCAGCTAGTTGCAACAGTAACAGCTGAACATCACCAAGACACACGGAACATAGTAAACTCATGCATCCCAGACCAGTCAGAAACAAACATGCATTGGCCACTACATTTATACATTTACTTGAGCCTGATACAATTTTGTGTGGCTCCATATCTGCAAGAAGTCTTACAAGCACAGATCCATACATACATACAAAATAAACAAAATTTTTCTAACAAGGAGACAAAACTTTCTGCAGGAAACAGACTTTGTTACAAATTGTATAAATTTTAAACCATGTGGAGGGAGAGAGAGAGGTTATCAAAGCAGGTCATTGTTGGGATCATCAGGATGGCTGCAAGGCAAGAGAAAACCAGGAGGGAGAAGTCAAGGGAGATGTCCATGTGCATCAGCAGGCCAAAAGAGCCAGAGCCAAGTGGAATACCACAGCCTAGAGCTTAAGGTGTGGATCACCCAGGCTGCTGAGAGAGGGGAGAGAGCTGGAGAGGAGATTTCCACGGGATGCAGGAGGCTGCAGGAGCCAACAAGCACACTTGTACCCATGTTGATGGTAACACAGGGCAGAGGGAGGCAGCAGCTGAAGAATCGGACTCTAGAATTTGGAATCAAATTTATAGACAAATGATCCATACATACCTTATTGAGATTAGATCAGTAGATGCTGTAAGGAGAACAGGCACCCAGAAGCTGGCCTCTCTGGCTCTAACTCTCCTGTTGTAGCAAAAGTAAGGACAGGGTGAAAGGACCAAGCAGATGCCATAACAGGCTGTCAGTCTTCTCTCAGAGATCAGACCTCAATTTCAGTTTCCTGAGACTTGAGCAAGCAGTTTCTGGGAGGGCCGTGAGCAAAAGACATAGTCCTTGCAGTAGCTCCCTTTCTGCACGTACTCTGACTGCTCAAGGTTCAGCCAGTTGTTTACTGTATGGGACCCCTCACCAAATTAGAGCTATGTGCATGGGCCAATGTGAATGTGTGAGGCCAGCCAGCCTCCATGGCAGCTCAAGGACAAAGCCTGGGACTTGTCCGTGCTTGCCCTCAAATGATAAATGTAACTCCCAACCAGTAAATTCAAAGGTTACACACCCTCACCCAATCATATGATGCAAAGGCTTGTACCACCCTGCTTGTGGTTTTTCCCCTTTAAAAACCCCTCACCCTGATAGTTCAGTGCTGTCCTCCTCCACCCTCTGTGTCGGATGTTGGACATGGATCAAGTCCGGGCTTGCTTGTTATCAATGAATCCCTTTGTGTTTTGCATCGAATATCAGCTCGGGGGTCTTGCAATGTGGCCACAACAAGGGCATTTATGAAGTTTAGGGTAGGAGAGCAGACAGAAACAAATAGAGCAGATATCTGTTTTGGGTGGAGCAGATGGGTAGGATCCCTGCATGGCCAGACATAATGCCAGGAGAGCCTCGTGATTCTTTGGCACCAGTGAAAAGATTAAAAAAAAAAAAAAAGATTTATTTATTTATTATTTATACAGTGTTCTGTTTGTATGTGTGTCTGCACACCACAAGAGGGCACCAGATCTCATTACAGATGGTTGTGAGCCACCATATGGTTGCTGGGAATTGAACTCCGGACCTCTGGAAGAGCAGCCAGTGCTCTTAACCTCTGAGCCATCTCTCCAGCCCCCAGTGAAAAGATTTTTTAAAAATGTCAAAGTGGGTACCTCCTGGTGGCCCGGCCAAGGTGTGGCATTAAGAGATCACACCACGTGCAACAGAGTGAGTGCAAGAGGTTTATTGAGGGGGGGAGTGAAAGTGTGAAAGGCCACATTGGAGTGGGGACATGGAGAGGTGGACAGACAGATGGACAGAACAGGGAAGAGACAAGAGAACCAAGGGGAACTGAAGAAGTGGGGGGTGCCAGTGACTCGGCAGCTCAGTCAGGGTGGAGGGCTCAGAGTCAGTCCCTGGGAGAAAAAGCATCAGGAGCCACCAGAACCCCGGACAAAAAACCCGAGGCCACCAGCACTGGCTACGGAGAGAGGAGCAGGAGAGCAGAAATCAAAAGCCCTGGATAAGGAGCGCAAAGCATTGTTTATAGCGTATGGGGTGAGACAGCCCATTAATGTGGATACATTTTAAACCTGGGATCAGGATTAGATCCAGTGTTGCCCATTTCTAAGGCTGTGCTGGAGACTGAAGGCTAGGATGAGGCATCCCACTCAAAAGCCTAGAGTCAAGCAGTAGGGATGGGTGTAGCCTTTGGGAAGGATGTCTCCTAACAAAAAGGTCCCCCAGAACAGAGACTGTCTGCTCCAGAATGGACAGGCTTTCCCTGGCATGGCCACGGCTTGGCAGGGGATCCCAAGGGTCCTGGACCCAGAGAGAGATACCCAGTACTTCTGTAAGTGGTGACTGAGTAACGGGTAACTTGTCCTGAACTAAAAGTTGATCACATCTGGCAGAAAAAAGATAAAGCAAGTGGCTTCCCAAATTGTTGGAGCCCAGCAGGTAGGAGAGCTCAACTCCTCCTGGGTTTCAGCAACAAGATAATAGGTTTTCTGTCCCCCAATAACAGGTTTCTCTGCCGATGCAGGAAGCCAGATCAAGCTGAATTGAAAAAGTATAACAACAGGTTTATTTGAGCAAAGCAATTCCCGGGTTGGTTCTCCAGTTCCAGAGATCAAGCAAGGCCAGAGAAGCCGAACAAGCGCCCGAACTAAAGCAGGGAGATTATACAGCCTGTAGGCAAGGGGTGATGATATGTCTGCCATAAGGTGGGTTTCTGTCCAAGTGTGTTCAAAAGTTGATTGCTTTAGATGCTTCAGGGTGGGAACTGCCTTAGCTGCCAAGAATGCAGAACTGGGCTTTTGGGTGCCTTCCCTTTATTCAGAGATTCTCTGAGGGGACAGGGCTTGGAAAGACAGGACTGGGGCTTCTGAGACAGTTCAGGAGCTGCAGGAGCAAGATGGAGGTTCTAATCAAACACCATGTTTTGGCAGAGAGTCTACTGAGGTAAAGTGGGGCTGACAAGGCCAGTTGGCAGGGTAGCAGAGCGCTGTCAACTAGATCCCCCGAGGAGACAGCTGCTAGCAGGATGCAATGCCATACCTGAATACTGCCTGGAAGTCACATCTTACCAAATAAGGGGAACCTAGACAACCTTGATCAGGAGGACCCTCTGGGTCAGAAGTGACATAACAAAAAACACCAAATGTCACTGCATTGCTAGAGATGAAGTTGCAAGAAAGAGAAGCAGCGTCTCAGGCAGCAGCACTGAGCCACACCCCACCTGCCCAGATATCTGTATCTTGCAGGGTGACATGGTCAAGCTGAAGGGACCTAAGAAGTTCTGGAGTCCCTGTTGCTTGGGACAGCGACTGGAGCCAGCATTAGTCCCAAGTGTTGTATGTTTGAGACACTCCAGTTCACACATCCTCTCCATGGACCTGAGGGAACATGCCATGCTTGGCCTCCACTTGCTAATACTGGTCCATGGGACTGGGTCTAGCCTTTGCCAGTAGGGGACACACACTCTGTTCAAGTCATGAAAATCACTCCCACATCATCAGAGCCACAACCTTGCCACCTTCAGGAAGGTGACTTTAGTGGAAACAGGGCTCCATTGCCTCAATTCTGTCACCATTGTCAAACAGACAGCAATCCAAAGAGCCTGAAAAACATGCCTTTATTATTTGTCCACTGAAATATCAGGGTTTCCTTGTTACAGTACAGTGAAATGGAGCGTGGCAGATATGGAAAGAAATAAGATCAAAGTCTGGGTTCCTGAGCAGAAGGGAGTGGGTACATGAAACGAATTACAAAAAAGTCAATGACTCTTCCGACAATGCCGTCCAGTAAGAATAGGCCTGTCTTCTGGAATCCCATAGCCTCATAGAGGCTCACAGCACCTTGCTGTATGACACTGGTCTCAAGGACAAGGTCACTGTAGCCCTGGTCCCGTGCAAACTGGAGGACAGTTCTGACCAGGGCTTTCGCCATCCCCTGTCCTCGATGCTGTGAGGACACAGACAGGCGAAAAAGCTCCAGCTGCTTCCTCCCTGATGGGGGAGCCTTGACCGGCCGAGCAGCCACTGTCCCCACTACCTGTCCCCCAGACTCAGCCACCCAGAAACCCGAGCCAGGCACACTCAGGTAGGACTTAGTGATGTCAGCCATGTCTGTGTGCAAACACATGGACACATAATTCTTCCAGGGCTGGCCGGCAAGGAACCGCAAGAAGAGAAGCAGAAAGACGATGCATACAACAGCCAGGAGCCAGGAGCCAGACACCAGGACTGTGGCAAGAGGCACCCCAAGTAAGAGCAGGAGGGTTCGGGGCAGTTTCAGCAGGTGGCGGAAGGTGGCAGGGGCATGCTCCTCCATGCCCCTGGAGAACAATTCCAGGACCCTTTTGCGGTCCCTCTCCTGGTACTGGCGAATGTGATAAGGAGCCATGGGGATACTTCTCAAATATCAGCAGTCACAAGAGGCAGTGAGATCTCTTTTTCACGTCTTTCCTGAGCCCTGCAAGAGAGAGTAGAAGCCATCTGAGTTCCCTCCACCCCTCCACCCTGCTTCCAGCCTCGCAGGAGCCATGTAGACTTTGCTCAAGGGTGTGTCTTTTAGTATCACCCAAGAAAAAGCAGAATACCACTGGGGAAACATGTGGTGTCAGCAACATCTGATTAACACCCAGGTTCTTCACTTTCTAGACATGTGACCCTGAATATGTCACTTTACCTCTCTGAGCCTGTGTGTCTTTCTCCCAAACAGGGTAAGATAACACTTCGTTTCTAACGTTGCTTTGAGGATTTAAAATGGTGATCTGTATGCAGCACAGACATGATTAGTCCCTTCTCCTCCCCCCTCCTTACTCAGTAACTGGCTCCCTGTTATTCTGATACCTTAAAACGACACACTAGAAAGTGGATGTGGTGTCCACAGCTATTGGCTTCCTCTTCAGGGTCTGTTGATAGCAGAATCCCATGTTCCCATGGACAAGTTTCAGAAAACCCTCTTCTCCCTGGCTGGGAAGATTAAATCTGCCAAAAGGGCAGAAGGTCATCTCCAAACACCCCACCCAATTCAACCCCCCACCCCCACCCCAACCTTGAATCCCTAGGAACATGGTCAGACTACAGGTCCACTAGAGACTTCCAGCCTGGCTTTGCCCATCTCTCCTCTCACCTGGTACCATAGAGCTGAGAACGTTCAGGATAGTCTCGGCCTCTAAATGGCATCCAAAGAAAATCGGCTAGACCTTGCCTCAGCTCTGGGGAGCAGCCTCAGCCTGGCAGCTCATTGGCTGGCTCCTGGATAATCATAAACCAAAGGTCAAGGGCTGGAACATGATGGAGGAGAGAGCAGGCTCTGGGGTGGCTCTCGTGGAAGGCCTGCTACCTCTCTTCCTGATTCCTTCCCACCACACCTCTCACTGAGCACACTTGGCCTCCCTGAGATGTACCATGCTCCCCTACACAAATCTTCTATGAGTGAGAGGACTGTACAACTCACACGTCCCGAATAAGGGTCCAGGCTCTCTGAATCAAAAGAAGGCCCTCCCATCTGGCCTTCCCCCTGCCCAAGCTGTACCTGTACATGTAAAAAGGGATCTTGGCAGCCCCAACACTGCTCTCCTGTTCCTGCTTCTCATCATTAGGCCCTAACTGAGCCGTAGTGGGGAGGCACCTGCTGGGCTGCACATGTCCTTTTCATCAGTCGTGTGGCAATCCAGATGACGGGCTCCAGCAGGCCTAAGGAAGAGGATGTCAGAATTCCAGGAGCTGTGCTTGTGAGCTTCTGGAAAGCATTCGATCTCAACTGTTGAGACACTGATGATCCCCTAGTCCTAGTTAGTTTTCTGCTGCTGTGATAAACACCATGACCAAAAACAACTTGGGGAAGAGAAGACTTATTTGGGTTATACATTCCATCCACAGTCCATCACTGAGGGAAGCCAAGACAGGAGTTGAAGTAGGGCAGGAACCTGGAGGCCGGAACTGAAGCAGAGGCCATGAACCAATGTTGCTTAGTGGCTTGACCTCCATGTCTTTCTCAGCTTCCTTTGTTATATCTCTCAGGACCACCTGCTCAAGAGTGGCTGAAGGAACCCTGCAGGTTTCCAGGCAGGGAAGCGAACCCATGAAGAGATGAGAATGAAAATTCAGTTCAAGTGGACTTTGTCAACCTGGACCAGACTTGGGGAGTCTGATGCAGGTGGTTCATTGTCAGCATATTTAAAACAGTACAGCCGAGAGGTGGTGGTGCACACCTTTAATCCCAGCACTCGGGAGGCAAAGCCAGGTGGATCTCTGTGAGTTTGAGGCCAGCCTGGTCTACAGAGCAAGATCCAGGAAAGGCGCAAAGCTACACAGAGAAACCCTGTCTCGAAAAACCAAAACAATAATAGTAATAATAATAATAATAATAATAATAATAATAATAATAATAAACCACAGTACAATTTGGGAAAAAGTTTCCAGGCGACAATGATTCCAATTCCAGGTACACAATAAAGCTTAAGGTGGGACTACTTAGAAACTCCCTTACAAAGTGCATGTGGCTACAGGATGGGTTCTATAGATAAACTGCCTAGGGTCTGGTGTGGTCTCTGACTGAGACTGCACAGAGGTCGGAAGGCCATCAAGTACCTGTGACATTCCCCCACTAAGGATGGGTTCTACTAGCTGGGAGCTAGGGAGGGAGAGTCTGGAATAAACATTCTGGGGAGATAGGTGAGGTCTGCCCCTATAGCAAAAGGTGGGTGGAGTCTGCTACTACAGAGAGCAAAAAGTCACCAGGCCATTAACAATATCCACTCCCAGCTTTCTGGGCAGGAAAACAGGTATTTTATCTCCTCCACTGACGAGAAGCCCCTGTGTGTTTGACATTCCTGCTTTCCCTAGCTATCTTTGGATGCAAAGACCTTTGTGCCCCCAACAGGTGGCTGTCTTAGTGCTCTATTGCTGTGAAGAGACACCATGACCACGGCAACTTATAAAATGAAAGCGTTTAATTGTGGTTTGCATTCAGTTTCAGAGGTTTAGACCATTATCCTCATGGCAGGGCCATGGCAGCACACAGACAGACATGGTAGCTAAGAGTTCTACATCTCGATCCAAAGGCAGCAGGAAGAGAGAGACGCTGGGCCTGGCTTGAGCATTTAAACCTCAAAGCCCTCCCCCGAGTGACATACTTCCTCCACCAAGGCCACACCTCCTACTCCTTTCAAATATACCATTCCCTAAAGCATTCAAATATATGAACCTGTGGGGGCCATTCTTATTCAAACTGCAATAGTGGCACCACCCACAATTGGCTGGGCCCCGCTGCATCAATCATCAAGCAAGAAAATGCCCCCCAGACTTGTCTACTGGCCAACCTTATGGAGGCATTTTCTAAAATGAGGCTCCCTCATCCCAGATGACTCTAGTTTGGATCAAGTTGACAACCCCTCCACACACACACACAAAAAAAAAACCAAAAAAACCCCAAAAAACTAAACAGCACACTCCTGCTTGGAGGAAGATCTCACCTTCTTCCCTGATGTGGTGGCTAAGGTTGCCTGCTGGTGAAGCCCTGCTTGGCAGCTGGAAGCCCCATGCTCAGTTACAGGTTTCCTTTCTGACATACAACATGCTCGAGCATTGGTTGATACTTGCGTGCCTTGGCTCATGGCAGCTCCCTGAAGAACCCAAGGTGACAGGCGACAGTGAAAAGGTACTAAGACAGAGCAGGAGGGGTGGAAAAACTTTCCCACGAGAGCATGCGGTATGCATCTCTCCCCTTCATGAAAATACCTCGAGAGTGGGGAGACTCATCATCCAGTCCGAGGCCCTTTCAGCAGCCAGGTGTGGCCAATGGAGAGCAGCAACAGAGCCAGCCTGGAACCTGCCAGACCAGAGAACTCGGCAGTGAACATGGCAGGTATGAATATGGCCTGGCAAAGCAGCTTGAGCTAGGCACTCCCAGCTCAATGGGAGTGGGATAACGGCCAGGCAACATGCAGAAGCTGCCCCAAAGGAAGAGACCAATCGGCTTCTGGAAAAGAATTATAGAGGGCTAACTGAATGTAACATTGCTCTTTTGAGGAAACAACTGATAAAAATCTGTGGTACTTGTCTTAGTTAGGGCTACTATTGTGTGAAGAAACACCATGAATGAAGGAAGCTCTTAAAATGAGCATTTAACTGGGTGCTTGTTTACAGTTGTAGAGGGTTAGTCCATGGTTGTCATGGTGGGAAGCAGACAGATATGGTTCTGGAGCAGCAGCTGAGAGCTTTACATCTTTATCCGAAGGTAAAGAGACTATCCAAAGGTAAAGAGACTTTATCCAAAAGTAAAGGTAGAGAGACTAGGCCTGTCATGACCTTCTGAAACCCACCCCTAGTGACACACCTCCTTCAACAAAGCCATACTTACCCCAATAAGGCCACACCTCCTAATCCTTCTCAAACAGTTTCACTCTCTGGTGACTAAGCAGGCAAATATATGAGCAGCCTATTGGGGCCATTCTCAATCATACCACCACAGTATCTTTCCTTACTGCTATTAGACATTGCTAATTTATTTTAGTGTCTTTAACCACTGAATCACTAAACCAAGGGGAGCTTTCTTGAAAGGGACAGCAGTGAACCTTCAGAGACCTTGCCCACCCTCTGTGAAAACTGTTTCTTCATATATAGTACTAACATTCAAGTATATTAAGGATCTGTGAAAACGTCTAGAAGAAGAGGAAAAAGCATTACTAAGAGAATAGGAATGAAGACACCTGCATGGGTAGGAAAAGAAACGCTCAGGATCAGTTTGCTATTCTTCCAGAGGACAGGAGTTCAATTCCTTGAACCTATATCTCAGGTGGCTCACAACAGCCTGCAACTCCAGCTTCAAGGAACTGCATTCACCATTCACCCATGCACACACACACACACACACACACACACACACACTCACTTTTGAAGTCTTTAAAAAACCAATGAGTGAAGGTCAATTGGGAATTGCAGAGCGCTACAGCATCTGTGTGCTGTGGCAAACCCTGTAAGCTTTCCAATGAGGCGAAAGAAGGTTTTAAGGCTCACAGGGAGCATTACACAATACAGTGAAACAGCCACTCTGAAACATATATACAAAGTCCACTGCGCTCTTTCTGCCATGCTTGGAAATTCCAAACTCTTCCAAAGTGGTTCTGGAGTTCCCTGTTTCTTCCCACACCCACATTGGTCTGCACATCCATGTCACTATAACCTCAGAAGGATTTCTCTCCTGCCCAGAGGCAGAGAAGTCTGCTCAACCAGTTTCTTGACCACAGGGGTTAAAACAGCAGCTCCAGGACCAATAGTCACAATGGCACCACCCCCATCTTAAACTGCCTGTCATGGGGCAAGTGGCCTGGCGGAGGTATTCACTGTACGAGGCTGTGGTAGCCTTTGTGCAGGCGTGGCTCTAGCAGGATTTTTGGTATTTCTTGCTTTAGGTCACACAACCTTGACATATTTCCTTATAACCAACCAAATTTTCTTATTGACTTATCCCTTGGTTATTAGTTGACTTAAGTGACTCTGCTTTAATTTTTGACAACATGTATAGAATAACTGGAGTTGGTTAGCACAGTTGGGCAGGGTAAGGACATTCATAATACTGGGATGGGAACTGACTTCCATGCCTCAGTCCAGCCCTGAGTCTGGAAGCTTCCAGCCAAACGCCAAGGAAAACCCAGGACTCAAATCTAGGACCAGGACATAAACTTGTCAGGAAGAAACTGGTTGAGCAAACTTCTCTGCCTCTGGGCAGGAGAGAAATCCTTCTGAGGTTATAGTGACATGGATGTGCAGACCAATGCGGGTGTGGGAAGAAATAGGGAACTCCAGAACCACTTTGGAGGAGTTTGGAATTTCCAAGCATGGCAGAGAGAGCGCAGTGGACTTGGTGCTGAGGGTAGCTTCAGAATCAGACTCACTGAGTGCTAAAGTTCATGTTTATGGTAACGTGAGCTAGCCTAACTTGAGCCAGATTCCACATCTCTGGTGAAGTTGCTGGTTTGCCTGTGCCAAATTTCTGGGTTTGTTTTCTACATACTGAATTTTTCAGATATCTGTGATTAAAAAGGTGAGCTTTTTCTCTTTTATAGACATTTGACACCCCCCTCCATGTGTCCTTTTACACCCTCAGAATTGTGAAACCATTACAAAGGCTGAGTATTGATTGGGCAACAAAGGAGACATGTATTCTTGGCCAAGAGGAGAAGTGGATAGAGAATTTATCTGGAGATAAGGGCTACACAGTGAAAGAGGGAGGGAGGTATAGACTAATGAAGAGGTGGAAGTCCGTGTCCTCTCAGGGAAAGGGTGGAGGCTTTGCAGGAATTTGCATATCACTTCCTTTTGCTTCTTATACAGTTCTTTTGTCATTGTGGCAACGTCAGCTGTCTTGGGGTATCATTAGGATGCCATGCAGACTACAGTGAAGTTAGAGACTGTCTGGTGAACATCTGACTGCCTTCTTTAGACTTAGCCAGCCCTCCTAAACTACCGACCCCGAGTCAGGTGACAGTAAGGACCTTAAACTAGCTCAGCCAGTTTTACTCTCTCAGAGTTATGATTTCTCTGGAAATGAACGTGCAACTTCATAAAATACACTAACCAAGCTCATCGTTTCAGTAATTAATAAGAGAAAGCTTCATTCATAGTCTTAGTGTTGGGCTTGTGTAACAGTTTAGTGCTGGACTGTTCCTGTATGGAAGGCGTTGTCACCAGCAGGTAACACTGTTGGAAGACAGTAGATTCTCCAGGAGGTGGGAGACAGTCATGGGAGGTGGGTCGAGATGATTACACTAGATCTCTTATCTGATCCTTTCTCTTTCTACTTTCTGCTCACTCTCAGGTTAGCAGTTGTAGACTTCCACTAGTTGCTGGCGCGTTAGCAGCATAGTTGTTATGAACGCGACAAACTACCCTCTGTTTGGATTTGAGACATTCTGTAACCAGAGCACCCCACCATGAGAGTCTCCCTGCCTCAGGCCAAGTTGACAGGACCAAGTAACCATGGGCTGAAATCCCTGGAACTGTGAGCCAAGATAAAACTTTCCTCTTCAAGCTGCTCCTGCCTGCCACCAGCTGCAATACTCTGGAGAGCAGGCCCTGCACAAGATGAGAGAGAAGGAGACGGGAGAGGAGCTGAGCTGGGAAAGAACTAGGTGGATGAGAACCTAGAAGGGGCAGAACTAAGATGAAGGAATTAAGATAGAACTTAGAGGGGCCAACAGACAAATGCAGAGAGAAATCAGGCCAGAAAGGAGCTGGGCGTGAGAGCAGAATAGAAGCTTGTAGAGAGAGAACTGACACAGAATAATAAAGTATATGGACTAAGGAGTTTTGTGTACGTAGATTCATTTCTTTCCATCAAAGATAAAATTATCAGCTGGTTGTAGATTCTTCCTGGACCCTGGGAGGGGACTATCGAGGGGCTGGACTCCCCCCAAGTCCCCAATACAGACCCAAAGTTGCAGGATCTCCACAACACAGGACAACAACAGGTCCCAGTGAGGGCCCAGCATTGATAATGTAGCAGAAACCAGAGGCTTCAAACCAGACCAATGACTCTTTGCAACAAACACTTGGAAGTAAAGGTAAGTGGACAAAAGGGTTTGTGGTGTGACTCACTGTGTCACACTGCAGCTTCCATGACAGGACTTCCCCCCCCTTTTTTTTCTTTCCTTTTTAAAAAAAATTTTGTCTGGGGTGGGGGCTGCAATGGCAGAGGGACAGGATATGCAAAGACAGGAAATGAATGGGATTGAGATGATGTAAAAGACACAAAGAATAAATAAAAAGAAAGTTAAAAAAACTTTTCTCCTCACAAATTGATAGCATGGCTATTTTGTCACAAAGAAGAGGCTGAATAATAAACCTATCTATGAAGTCCTGGGTGTCTGACAAAGAAGTCTAAGAACATTGATCTCAGAATCAGGATAAGTAAAAGAAAAAGGAAAAAGTGGATGTCTCCATTATTATTTTAAGGTGAAAAGGGAACATTTGTCCATTCTCCCTTTTCTTAGGACATGGTCTTTTTGTGTGTGTGTGACAGCTAGTACACATCAACAAATATGAATCCCCAATGAAGAGCTCAGTTACTCATCAGACTCCTGGTCCATCGAGCGCTGAATGAAACTGAACCACATGAAGACTGGGATGACGAAGTCAGTTCTGCTTCTTGGGAAATTAAGCCACAGCTAAGTGATAGATGGCATACGCTGGTCCACCAACTGTCAGAGCCATTGTGAGTCTGTGAGGGCATCAGATGCCCTGCCCTTCAGATACACTGAGATACTGTGGATATTGCTCTGTATAAATAAATGCTGACTGGCCAGTAGCCAGGCAGGAAATATAGGTGGGACAAGCAGAGAAGAGGATTCTGGGAAGTGGAAGGCTGAGGCAGAGAGACACTGCCAGCTACCACCATGACAAGCAGCATGTGAAGATGCCGGCAAGCCACGAGCCATGTGGCAAGGTATAGATTTATAGAAATGGGTTAATTTAAGATATAAGAACAGTTAACAAGAAGCCTGAGCCATTAGGCCAAACAGTTTAAATAATATAAGCTTCTGTGTGTTTATTTTATAAGTGGGCTGTCGGACAGCTGGGGTTTGGTGGGACCTGGAGAGAAAACTCTCTAGCTACACTGAGATCCCATTATCCTCCTGAAACAGCTTTTGTTTCTCTGGAACTTGTTTTCAAAATGCCTTTGTGAGACAGTGCTAATGATACTTTGGGCAATTTGGTGGAGGGCCAGCAGGTTCTGAAACACTTTGGCTCAGTTGCTGCCTACCAACCACAACTTCTGAATGCCCAAAATTGGAAACCACCAAGCCAGAAACAGTGACATTGTCTTTTTTATTTAAGTTAAATAAATTAAGTTAAATAAAATAATGCTTTTTAATAAAACTGGATTTTGTTATAACATTTTTATGTATGAGTATCATTATATTCTTTGCTAATATTTGCTTCTCATAACCCCTTTTCCCTGGCTCCCAAGCATTAAAACTTTCTCTTCCCCTTGGAGATATGCATTAATCTTAACAGCCAACAAAACTTCTTCTAACTGTATGTCTGTGCTGTCTTCTCAAGGCTCTGGGTAGTTAGAGAGAAACAACAGGGACTGAACTGCTAGAGGGAAATGTTTTGCAGAGGAGTTGTGGTACTGTCCAAGAGCCTGGGGTCTCCCTCTGGGACCCGAGAAAGATGACCGCAAATCCTAAATGGTCTTATAATAAAAACCTGGAGCCAGATATCAGAGTGAAAGCTGAAAGATTGGAGAAGCAGAGCAAACCACAGCCACCACCTCTTACCTCACCAACTCCTCAGCCTGACAGAGCCTCTGCAAGAGAGAGAATTCCTGTCTCCTCCCACCTTATATTCCTTTCCCTGCCCAGCCATATCACTTCCTGTTTCAACCTTCCTAGTGCTGGGATTAAAGGTGTGTGCCACCACTTTTGAGGAAACACTGATAAAAGCAATGGGAGGGAAAGTCTTAACTGCTGAATCCCAAGACCAAGTGAAACTGTTTTGTCCTCTGTAGAAGGTTTAATTATATAATGTGAACATGTCACTGTCTTACAGATCTGTAACAGCATCTAGAAAAATTGCCGGGCAGTGGTGGCGCACGCCTTTAATCCCAGCACTCGGGAGGCAGAGGCAGGCAGATCTCTGTGAGTTGAGGCCAGCCTGGTCTTCAAAGCGAGTTCCAGGCAAGGTGCAAAGCTACACAGAGACACCTTGTCTCAAAAAACCAAAGGAAAAAAAAAAGGTAAAATCAGAAGTTCAGTAATTTGAATCTGAGCATATTGTGTCATGTCTAATATCCCAGAACCTAGAGGCAGAGGCAGGAGGACCACTGCAAGTCTGAGTCAGCTTGGTATGTATAGTGAATTCTAGGCCAGTCTGGACTACAAAGTGAGATCCTATCTCAAAAAAATAATAATTTGAATGAAGATACCTATGTGGGCAGAAAACATGACTCCCAGGAGTGATAAGGCTGTCGGATCAAAGCACCATTGTGAGACGTGGTTTGCTTTCTTTTTTTTTTTTTTTTTTTTTTTTTTTTTTTTTTTTGGTTTTTCGAGACGGGGTTTCTCTGTGTAGCTTTGCGCCTTTCCTGGAACTCGCTTTGGAGACCAGGCTGGCCTCGAACTCACAGAGATCCGCCTGCCTCTGCCTCCCGAGTGCTGGGATTAAAGGCGTGCGCCACCACCGCCCGGCCATGGTTTGCTTTCTTATGGGTGCCAGGGAAGCACCTGTGACCCACACAATACTGTGTGGCCGCTGCTGTTGGCTGCATGCCAAAACTAAACGGCAAACTACTGTTGCTGAAGATACTTGTTGTGGGAGGTTTTTTACTCTTTTGGGGGGAGGCGGGCCGCCACACAGCTCCCAAGTAGGCTGGCAAGTATAAGGCTTATACTTAATTATGAATATCCGGCCTTAGCTTGGTTTAGTTTCTTGCCAGCTTTCCTTAACTTACCCCGTCTACCTTTTGCCGCTGGGCTTTTCCTGTTGTCTTCTGTAAATCTTACTCCATTGCTGGTTGTGTAGCTGGGTGGCTGGCCCCTGGAATCTTCCTCCTTCTCTGGCTTCTAGCTCTCCCCCTTCTGCCAGATCTCTCTGCCCGCCAGCCCCGCCTATCCTTTCTCCTGCCTTGCTATTGGCCATTCGGCTCTTTATCAGCCCATCAGGTGTTCTAGACAGGCACAGTAACACAGCTCCACAGAGTTAAACAAATGCAACATAAACAAAAGTAACACACCTTAAAATAATATTCTACTACAGACACTGAATATTTTTATTGTGGGACATGGGAAATAGAGTGAAGCGAAGTTGAAGTAGTAGGCATTTACAGTGGTAGGAAGGGCTACCTGGGCTCCTTAAGGGAGAACTGTTATGAATATCGGCATGCTTGTTACACATAAAAATTCCTGGTTAGATTAAAGGCCTGCACAGCCAGCACCGTGCCGCCATCTGCAACGCCATTTACCATTCTGTCAGCACCTACGTTTCTTGAGCCCCCAGGCCTTGGATGCATGATGGGCCCAGCCTCAGTGGCAAGAAGTGGTGGGAGTGAAATTACTCTCCAGTCCCACTTCCTCTTTCTGAGCCCACAAACACACTCCACACATGACCTGCAGAGACTCACGCTGGTCCATAGACTGAGGCTAGCCTGGGCCAGTGGGGACTACACATGCTAGTCAGGCTGTGTAAACGACCCCACCGCATCACTGGCCACTGCCCCTCTCTTTAGGAAATTACTTCACAAGAAACAGAGGACTTCACTGCCCTAGTTCTTTACCTCCCATCAGGCAGACAGGAATACAACGAAAATGACAAAGGCAATTTTATGATTTGTCCACTACAATATCAGGGTTACTTTTTCCACAGCACAGTGAGCTGGAGGCTGACAGACACACAGAGGAAGAAGATCACAGTTCATGTTCCTGAGCAGAAGGGAGTGGGTATATGAAGTGAATTAGAGAGACATCCACAAGCCATGTGAGGATGTCCATGAAGGATTCACCTGTCTTCTGGAAACCCATGCTGTAATAGAGGCTCACAGCACCTTGCTGCAAAAGGCCAGTCGCAAGGACAACGTCATTGTAGCCCTGGTCCCGTGCAAACTGGAGGACAGTTCTGACCAGGGCTCTCGCCATCCCCTGTCCTCGATGCTGTGAGGACACAGACAGGCGAAAGAGCTGCAGCTGCTTCCTCCCTGATGGGGGAGCCTTGACCGGCTGAGCAGCCACTGTCCCCACTACCTGTCCCCCAGACTCAGCCACCCAGAAACCTGAGCCAGGCACACTCAGGTAGGACTTAGTGATGTCAGCCATGTCTGTGTGCAAACACATGGACACATAATTCTTCCAGGGCTGGCCAGCAAGGAACCGCAAGAAGACAAGCAGAAAGACAATGCATACAACAGCCAGGAGCCAGGAGCCAGACACCAGGACTGTGGCAAGAGGCACCCCAATTAAGAGCAGGAGGGTTCGGGGCAGTTTCAGCAGGTGGCGGAAGGTGGCAGGGGCATGCTCCTCCATGCCCCTAGAGAACAATTCCAAGACCCTTTTGCGGTCCCTCTCCTGGTACTGGCGAATGTGATAAGGAGCCATGGGGGAGACTTCTGGATCTCAAATCTCAGCATCCAGGAGACACATTCCAATCTGCTTGAGTTGCTTCCTTATAGCCCTAAAAGAGCCAGAGAAAACCAAATGAGTTTCCTAAACCCCCACTTACCACCTAGCTCCCAGCCTCCAAACACACAGGTGCACATTTCCACTGTCACCCAGGAGGGAGCAGAACAACAACCCTAGGAGACAGTGTTGGTTTCCAGAACTTTATACCCCTGCCTCCACCCTGCTAGTCCTGTGAGGCGAGGCATGTCCACATCTCTGAGCCTGTGTGTGTTCACCTACAGATCAGCGTGAAGAAACACCTGGTTTCCGGGGTAATTTTGAGGATTTAGTAGAGCAAGATTGATAGAGCACAGGCATGTCCCGTTTCCACCTCTCTCCTTACCCAGACACAGGCTTTCCTATCCCCCAGCTGTGTTTCCTCTCCAGGATTTGTAAATGTCCGAATCCTGTGTTCCCAATGGCAAGTTTCCGCAAATAGTCCCCTAGTTAGAAAGATTTAATCTACTAAGAAGCAAAGGTGAAGCCCCAAAGCATGCTACCCTTGAACACCCAGGAAGGCTGTGAGACTCTAGACCCAGAGAGACACCAACCTTGTCTATCTGCCCTCTCATGTGCTACCACAGCTGAGCTTCTAGGCTGGCATCTGGAACCTGCCAGGGCCTGTCTCATATCTGGGGAACAGAGCTGGGCTGGTGCCCAGCTGGCTGGCTCCTGGATAATCATAAACCAGAGGCCAAGAGCTGGAATAGAACAGAGGAGAGAGCCCTGTCCATTCACTTTGGGATCCCCAGAGGATTAGCATAGAGAAGAAGCAAGTCCTGGGATGCTCCTTACCCTTGTGGAAGGCTGCCATTGTTGTGGCCATGTCGTGAGACCCCCAAGCAAGACCACCACATATTCAATGTAAAACACAAAGGGGTTTATTAATAACAAGCAAGTCTGGGTTTGGTCCGTGTCCAACACTCAACGCAGAAGGTGGAGGAGGACGGCCCTGAGCTCTCAGGGTGAGGGGTTTTTAAAGGGGAAAACCACAAGCAGGGTGGTACAAGCCTTTGCATCATGATTGGGTGGGGATATGTAACCTTTGAATTTACTGGTTGGGGGTTACAGTTATTATTTTTTGGTAGGCCTGGACAATTCCCAGGATTTGTCCTTGAGCTGTCATGGGGGCTGGCTGGCTTCACACGTTCACATTGACCCATGCACGTAGCTCTAAGTTGGTGAGGCGTCCCAGACAGTAAACAACTGGCTGATCCTTGAGCGGTCAGAGTACGTGCAGAAAGGGAGCTACTGCAAGGACTATGTCTTTTGTTCATGGCCCTCCCAGAAACTGCTTGCTTGAGTCTCAGGAAACTGAAATTGAGGCCTGATCCTGAGAGAAGACTGACAGCCTGTCATGGCGTCTGCCTGGTCCTCTCACCACCTCTCTTCCCTTTTTCTTCTTGTTATACCATCTCTCACCTGGGATACTTGGTCCTCTCTCAAGCCTGAGACACACCTGGGACAGTGTAACTCACCCTGGGCTTGCTTACTTGGGGAGAGGTCTCATTGTTGGCACCCGGATGTTTGATAATCATAAACCCTAAGTGAGGACGCTGGGTTGTGGTCAGGCAGGGAGCCAAAGTCCAGCCAATTTTGTGATCCCCACAGAATTAACCTGGAAGGGGAGAGGGAATCTAGGGTGGCTCAGGGTTCCTCACCCCCATGGGAGGCTGCCACTCATCTCCTTGTCCCTTTCAGCCCACAGCCTTCATCCTGCCACACTTGGCACTCGCTAATGCTCACCTTGGTCTCTGTATCACCTGCTAGGAGGAAACTGGAAACTGAACCACTCATTTTGACCTCACTAGTCACAAGCAAGAATCCAGGTCTATTGGCTCAGGAACGAGAGCACCATTACTGAGTGTCTCCCTCCAACCTATGCCTGCTCCTTGGTGCTCCTCACTGACTTTCTGCCTCCTTTCTCACTAACAGGCCCTCACTCAGTCACCCATGGTTTTAAGGCCCAGCCAATGGCAGACCTAGACAAAGGGTATCTGCATGAACTCTAGGGGTTGTTCAGAGTTGGAGCATTACACACCATCCCCACCCCTGACAGCACACACACAGCATAGTTTAAAATGTGGACTGGGTAGAGATGGTGTACAGGTTAATAGTTTCAGATGTTTAATGTGAGAATTAAAAAAAGTTCCACCAACTGGGGACCATTTCTTTCAAACCATCACATTTGATGAACTTTTGTTTTGTCTTAAAGGAAATTTAAACTCACTAGAGGAAAAAAAAACAGCCAGAAAAGCAGGTCAAGTTACAGGGCGGGAGCTCCTGGGCTTTCCCTACCCCTGTGTCTCCATGTGAACCTCATTCACTGGGGTTCTCAGCACCCAGCAGTCTGCTGCCCAGCTGACTTGAAAGTGGGTTGGACTATGCACTTTCCTGCTGTTCTGAGTGAGGGTGAACTCCCTTCCACCAATGCTCTGCTGACACAGCTTCCCTCTGACTCAGCATCCCAGGGTCAGTGATGTTCAAGTTCACTTGTATTTTCTGAGGACAGGCAGTATGTATTTGCCATTAAGGGCCAGCTCTTTGTCGTTTTTTGTTTTGTTTTGGGTTTTTGTTTGTTTGTTTGTTTGTTTGTTTGTTTTGTTTTGTTTTGTTTTTCGAGACAGGGTTTCTCTATGTAGTTTTGGTGCCCATTCTGGATCTCGCTCTGTAGACCAGGCTGTCCTGGAACTCACAGAAATCTACCTGGCTCTGCCTCCTGAGTGCTGGGATTAAAGGCGTGTGCTATCACCTCCTGGCACCCTCGTCATCTTAAAAAGGTTCAATCCTAGGGACACCAGGTTGATGGAGATTCAACCCATTGTGATCCCAGGTAGCTGGTACTCCAAAGATGTTGATGGCCTCTGGCGATAGCATTCCTGGTGACTCGTAGGCAGAGAAGTTTATGGTGGCAAGAGTGTGCATGCTCCATATGGATGGAGCTCCTCAGGGAGGGCAAGGACAAAAACAGTCTAATGGAGAAGGGGTGGACCCACCAAGGTCCCAAGAGACCTACCATCATAATTCAAGGTTGTTCGTACCTTTACAGAGTGTAGATCACCACTTGTCCAATAACATAAGCACCCCAAGATATAAAGGACCACAGGGAACACCAGAAACCTACACAGAGATGTAGATGTAAGGCCACCATGAGGTGAATATACTGGAACCCCAAAGAAGGAGAGAATATGATGCATCAAGGGATACAAACACCCAGATAGGGATGAGGACCTCTGAGTACACAGGAGTGAGGGGCTGACTCCCGGATGGGCTCTAGCTAGCATGAGGGTGTCCAGAAGTCCTGAGAGTACTACAATGGAGAAATACACTGTATCAAAGTAGGTGTGGGGCTGAAAAATGGCTCAGTGGTTAAGAGTGCTGGCTCCTCTTGTCTCTGTGCACACGTATTCACATGGTATAGAGACACACACACAGGCAAAGCACCCAGACACATAAAAATAATGTTTTTTTTTTTGTTTGTTTGTTTTTCAAGACAGGGTTTCTCTGTGTAGTTTTGGTGCCTGTCCTGGATCTTGCTCCAGGCTGGGCTTGAACTCACAGAGAACCACCTGGCTCTGCCTCCCGAGTGCGCCACCACCATCCGGCAATAACATATTTTTTAAAGTATGCAAGGATGATAAAGATCTAAAGTTTGGGTGTTGAGGAACCTGCCCCCTACCTATCCTGTTCAGCTGATTATGGGATGGACAGTTAACAGGAGTCCAATCTTATCTTGACTTCCACAGTTAACTTCCTGATAGACTGTGATGCTCTGACAGGGCCTGGAGCTAGAGGCAACCGAGACCTCTGTCTCTCCTTCTTGCCTGCACTAAACATCCCACCCATGAGCCCTAGATTCCCTTCCTCAGGCCCCTTCCTCTCTCTTACCACGTGACCATCCTGTTCCATGTTCAAACTGACAGCAGTGTCCACAGCAGGAAGCTGGGGGAGGTCTAAACTAGGAGGCCCCTCCCTCTCCTTCATGGTGTTAGAAGGACAAGCAGAGGCTGATTCTCCAAATACACGTCAGGTTCAGTGGGGACGCACAGGGCATTGGAATGGTGTATGTGTGTTACAGCACACAGTGCCCCCTTTCCAATGGCTGGTGGAAATAAAGGAGGAGGGTTACAGAACATTCTTACACAACCTTTCCTGGCAACAAAGATGGAAATTGAGAGGGATCAAGGATCAGCATCCAGAACAGCTCCACTCCCACAGTGAACTGGGCAGAGCAGTACAAGATTATCGTGATCTTTGGGCAAGAAGTGTTGGGTCTGGAGAGTATTACTATTAGTTTGGGGCACACATCTCTCCTACGCAACCAACCAGCTTCTGTGCTGACTCATTCATCTGGTGAGGAACTGACTGCAGTGAGTCTTGGGTTGACTGAGACAACTTGCACAACGTTCCTGGAAATTATTGACGCACCTGTGTCTTTGTGCACAGGTCGGTGGAGGAGAAGAGAGAACATTCACAGTGATGTGGGCTGAGGATGGGCTTTAGTGCCTGTCCTGCCTCGGTCCTTTCAGGCTGGCCCTTGGTCTCAGTTTCTAGAGTGGAAGGCTCCAGATAAACTCCATCCAGGATTGGGACAGAATCCATCTGGAAAAAGCTGGCTGGACAGGCTTCCCTGCCTCCTGGGAGCTGATAAATTCTTTCTGGCCTGATTTCTAATGATCTAGAGTTGAAGTCAGGTGTGCATTGGGGAGAACAGAGGCCCCAAATGTTACAACCGTTGGGGAGTTTGGAGTATCCAAGCATAGCAGAGAGAGTGCAAGGTCCTGCTTTCTTACTGCTGGGAGTAGAGTCCCCTCAGCCCCGCTGAGTCGGGAAGTTCACAGTTCATAGTTTCAGGTTGTGAAGTACCCACATAACTCTAGTCAGATTCCACATGTCTAGTGAAGTTGCTGGTTTGTCTGTGCCAAATTTCTGGGTTCATTTGCTTTGTTGAATCTTCTAGGGCTATGAGACTAAAAGGCTGAACCTATTTGATTTGTTTGCTGGTTCTGATTCAAAAATTCATTCTTTTTCCACCTTGAAATTGTGGAACCAACAAGAAGGCTGAGTGTTGATTGGGAATCAATGGTGACTTTCATTCTTGGCCAAGAGCAGAACTGGGAGATAAATTCCCAAATGTACTTCTCCACCCTTTGGGAAGCTGCAGTTGAGAGTATAAAATAAAATTGAAGGGGAGGGATAGATTAGTGAAGAGATGGAAATCCATGTTTTCTCTGGGGATGGGGAGAGACTTTCTCAGAATTCACACACCATATCTGTCCCCCTCTTTGTACGGTGTTTTTCTTTTCTTTCCTCATTATGGCAATGCCAAGTGTCTTGGGGTGGGTGTGGTGCCATCAGAATGTAGGTGCTTACAATGCAGTTATATATGTCTGCTAGACAGCCTTAGACCCAACTGGAACCTGAGTTCATGACAGCTGTATAATGTGACAGTAGCTAAAGCTATCTCAGAATTTCACTTTCTCAGTTTTGATTTTTCTGGAAAGGAATATGTAGATTTAGACACCTTCCTTAGCTGCAGAGGGAAATTCCATAACCCCTTTCTTCTGTCCTTGACTATAAAGCCAAAACCACATGGTCAAATATGCCAAGTTCTGCTGCTTGCTGGAGCTAGAACATGACCCTCTTGTTCAATTACATCTTCACAAAATTTCTGTTTTCCATGGTTTCCTTCACTGCCTCAGCTTGGCTGTCCCGAAATTTGCTCTGTAGACCAGGCTGGTCTTTACAACTTAGTCCCAGACTGATTTCCCCATGTGTTGTAACAAAAGCATGCAGTATACCAAGCAGCAGTGGCTTACCATCTACTTTTAGCACGCAACCAAATAGCAATGACAATAGTCTGTCTTTAAAAAAAAAAAAAAAAAAACATCCTTAGGGCTGGAGAGATAGATCAGCAGTTAAAGACACTGGCTGCTCTTCCAGAGGTCCTGAGTTCAATTCCCAGCAACCACATGGTGGCTCACAACCACATGTAATGAGATCTGGTGTGTTCTTGCCTGTAGGCAAACATGCAGGTAGAACAATGTATACAAAATAAATAAATAAATAAAACTTTAAACAAATCCTTAGATTATTTTTTATGTGTTTGAGTGTTTTGCTATGCCCTAAGTGGATTTCCATGCCCCACTTTGGGTGTCATTTGTAATGAGTTTTGTGGAGACCACAATCAGCTATATTCTACCAGCCACTTATTATCAATTATAAATGCTCATCTGATACCTCAGGCTTATTACTAACTAGCTCTTACAACTTAAATTAACCCATTTATGTTAATCTACATTCTGCCACATGGCATTACTTCTCTTTCATCTTGCACCTCCTGTTTCCTTTCTGTGTCTTGTTGGCAACTCCTCTGACTCTGCTCTTCTTCTTTGCAGTGTCCTTAGTCTGGTTTTCCCACCTAACCCTAACCCCCCTTTTAGATTTCATTTCCAGAGCCAAACTGCTATGCAGGCTGCAGGAGGTTTGTTGTTACCAATAATCTTATTATCAGCATTCCAGAAAAGATATACTTGACTGTAATGAATCTTTTTCTGTCCCACCAGCCAGCTTCCAAATAATGACATGGAGACTTATTGTTATTAATGAAAGCTTGGCCTTAGCTTAGGCTTGTTTTTAACTAGTTCTTACAATTTAAATCAACCCATTCCTATTAATCTATGTTCTGTCATGGACCACCCATTCTGCTTCTTCCATGTCTCTTGGCATCTCCTGTGCACCTAGATTCCTCCTCCTCTTCTTTCTCTCCTCAGAAATCCTTCCTATACCTCCTGCCTAGCTATTGGCCACTCAGCTTTTTATTACACCAATCATAGCAATACATTTTCACACAGTGTAAAAATATCCCACAACATTTCCCCATTTTTGTCTAAATAAAAAGAAAAAGTTTTATTTCTAAAATTTAGAGGAATTATGTATCTTACCTTGATGAGTCCAAAGTTTTATACCTAAACCATTTTTATCATAACTTGTATTACTATCCTAATATCTTTTTAGACCTTAAGACATCTCCTTAGATAAGCAATTTAAGCTTCTATGTTTCTCAACCTTATAGACTTTACACCTCTTATGTAAGTTTCTTTTTAAATTTAGTTTGGTTAGTTTATTTATTTCTTTTGGGGAGGGGTGTTTAGAGACAGGGTTTCTCTGTGTAGCCCTGGCCATTCTGGAACTCACTCTGTAGACCAGGCTGGCGTCAAATCCAGAGATTTGCCTGCCTCTGCTTCCTGAGTACTTAGTTTAAAGAAGTGAGAAACCACCACCCACCTTTTATGAATTTGGTAACAAGCAAAACTATAAAAATATAAATATCTAGTTTAACTTCATCAAAGACCTGAGAAGGATATAATATTGCCTGAATAAACAGGAACTGTAGAGCAAACAACTTCCAAAACTATAGCAATGACAAAGACAGCTTGCTGCCTCAATAGTCACCCAAGTTTCCTCTGCAATATTGGGGCATCCATCTTCAGCCTACAGACCTAGAGCATCTGACAGACTTTTCTGTGAAGCAGGAATCTTGAAGGACTGTCCTACCTTGTCTTGGCAGTCACTTTCTTTTGTGTCCTGTTTGTCCAGTTTGGACAGCATACTATTGGCAGTTGAGGCAAGGGAATTTCCTTGCCCAGTATCTATCTTAGCAACATTGAAAACCAACTCCATATGGAGGTTTTGTGATGCCCATCATCCTTCTTTGTAGTAAATTGGTGCTGCCAGAAGCAGATGTGTCTCACTCTCATGAAAAACCTTATGTTACTAAAACATTTTAAATGCCATAATCTGTAGTCTTTGAAGTGCTTGAAGACCATCTATCTATTTAAACTATATCTCTGTTTGACATTGAAAACATACCCAATGTGACTATAAGTTTGATTGTTATTGATGACTAACTACTAACCTGTCTTTTCTTATTATCCTAAATAGCTTTCATGGACTAAAACTTTACCTCACATTTTTTAAATGAGCTGTATAGGTACAATGCCTTAAACAAGACTAGAAAAATATATACAGTATAACAAAAATAACCTCAAGTTTGTATCAATATAAAAAATCCATATGAATGCAAATATTTGAGACTAGTGCTTGTTGTAAAGGAGATTCAACAATTCACCCTTTTATCCCATCGTTTCTCTATTATATCCCCCCTTTTCCCTTCAGAAAGAGATCCCTGAATCTAATCTCCTTTGGGCAGCATTTTTCCTGACCATGACCAACAATAATTTATAACCAAGCCTCCTAATCAATGACAAACATCCATAACCCTCCAAATGACCAAAAATTACATACCCCACTTCTTGCGATTGTGGGCATATGTTCTCTAGACTGCTTCCTGTTGTCTGGAGGTGATGGCATCTTTAAGGAACCCTGAGAAAACTGGGATAATGGTCAAGTATTGGGAAAACTAGCTGTTTCCAGGCTCTGTGTAATGGGAAAGTGCAGGGCTTTTCTCAAGTCCTGCCTGGAGTAGTGTGTAAGGCTGGACCATCTCAGCTAGCAACTTTGAAGTAGTTCTGAATGCAGAATTTCAAGAAAACTGCAACAAAGGCAATCTGAGAGGCTGGATCACCTGGGATACTTGTCTTTATTGATGTCTGGTCCTTTCTTCTGAAAACACACAAACTTTTAAAGGTAACTTAATATATGTATTAACACAAGTATGGAATGTGTGGTGTGCACAAGTCAACTATAGATGATTTTTTGTTCTATGTTTGAGGTGGTAAAAAGCATCTGTTAACTTTATAAGTCTATTAGGACTGTATAACCAAATCTCTGTCCATGCCATATGAAGAATGGCATATAATAATAAGTTATAAGGACTCTGTAGCCAACAAGATTTATCATGTTTCATCCAGCCTCAGAACTGTTCCCATGGAGAGGGATCAGCACATATGTCACCTGTCTATAGTGGCATTTTGTCTACTCATGACCTTGGGCTATAGGGCCTGCAAGCCAGGCAGATCAAGCCCAGGCAAGGCCGCTCACATGGCAGTGGTTCTTGCAACCACTACCAGAAGTATGCGTATTCTGCGGTGGATAGAGCGCCATGTCTGAGAGAAAGGTACCCCCGCTAGGTGCCTTTCTAGTTCTGTACTTGTAGTGGCCAGATTGGGTCACAGCCCCCAGCCTGGTTAGAGACTACCAGCAGGGTGTTCCTTTACTTTTAAAACGGTTTGGTGTAGCTGCTGCCAATTCTGGGACAACTGGGGCCACCACCCTCGAGAGTGTGCCTGCTCGGCAGCCTGGCTCCCCTGCCACCACTGCCGCTGCTGCCATCGCCATTCCATGCACAGCTGCCGCCATTGTTCGGTGTATTGCTTCATTTGTTGTGATGCCAGCAGCTCTGCCCAGTACTCACAGGCAGGGGTTGCCTGGGTTAGTGTTTGATTCACAGAGCTTATTCAGGAAGCTGAGTCAGCTCACACCAGACCTGCCTTGTACTCTACACCTGCGACACCTGCTGGCCAAACATCGCTACTACATCTTAAGACCATCGCGAGACCTGGAACATCTGCAACACCTAGGAGTGTTAGGAACAACTCCCAAGGATTTCATCTGAGGAAAAATTATCTATAATTTTACACCTTAAACTGATTAATAGATAAACAAATGAATAAAGTTTTTCTTTACAAATTTTGACTATTTCTCAAAAAATGTCAGACTATTACCACTCAGGAACTTAAGTTCTTTGTTTATATTATGAATGAAATTTTACAGGACATATACGACCTTCCTGGCACATATACAATGTTGGCCATACCAGCAATTAGCATAGTGATTGATCTCATATCATTGAAAAATTGTCTTAATAATAACAACAGCAAAAATGGGACATTAATGGGACAGATTACAGGCTTTGCAGAGTGGTAATGAGGACTTAAATGGAAAGACTCTTTCTATGGAAAGTGCTAATTTACCACAAGAACTTCAGACATTGTAGAGTGGTAATGAGGACTTAAAAAGACAGACTCTGTCTTTGGAATCTCTTAATTCACCACAAGAACTTCAGTCTGCTAATAATAACTGGATGGCCATATTTCATTCTATTGATAATAAATACAAATACTTAATGAATAAAACAATAACCCTTCAGAGCAATCTTAATGCCATTCAGATAATTTCTAAGGAGGAAAGATCATTGCTCATTGATAGAATGAAGTCTTTGGAATCATATGTTTTAGATGAAAATTTTAAAAAAAATGTATGATTCCATGAAATCTCTAGACTCCTTTACAACAGAGGAGGTTCAAATGCTCCAACAGGTGGTAGTTAATCAATTTCAAGCTCTGGAGGATTCTCTGAGTAAGGATAATAAAGAAACTCAGCCGGGCGGTGGTGGCGCATGCCTTTAATCCCAGCACTTGGGAGGCAGAGACTGGTGGATCTCTGTGAGTTTGAGGCCAGCCTGGTCTATAGAGTGAGTTCCAGGAAAGGTGCAAAGCTACACAGAGAAACCCTGTATTAAAAAACCAAAAAAAAAAAAAAGAAAAGAAAAGAAAAAAGAAATTAATAGGCAGAAGGGCAAAGCCACACAAGTAATAACATCACCTGGTAATGCTTATGAAATGGCTTATCCTGTCACCATCCTTAAAAAGCCAGCAGTTGATACACATGCTGAAGAATAATAGAATATATCTGAAAACCTATTTATATGAGGGATTTAAAACACGTTAAGGATGCTGTAGTTACATGTTGTATACATTCAATATATGTGAAAAAGATGTTAAATACATGGTCTTGTAGAAATAGAATTATACCAGATGACTGGAATCAGTTAATCTCAGCTGTGTTAGAATATAGCCAGCAATTACAATGGAAAAGCTGGTTGAGAGAAG